AAAAAAAAAAAAAACAGGGCCAGTGCTACACAGTAAGGGGCGTGCGTGTGTGTGTGTGTGTACGTATGTGTGTATATGTATGTAGTGTTTTCCTTTAATAAAACACGAATCCCAAAACGACGGCAAGGCGAGTTGTGGTCTTCCATTTGGTGAGGGAGAGAGAGGCTGGGATCACGTAGCTGACAGTGGCAGCGTGTGGCTTGTGCGCTCATGGCACACGTGGCTGTTTGTTTCTAAGATGCAAATGTTCCTTCTTGTGTCCCTAGGCCTATGTGAACCTCCTTTTCTGGTACCAGTTCTTTTGTGGATTTTCAGGAACCTCCATGACTGACTACTGGATGTTGATCTTGTTCAACCTTCTTTTCACTTCCGCTCCTCCTGTCATTTATGGTGTCTTGGAGAAAGATGTGTCTGCAGAGACCCTCATGCAGCTGCCGGAACTTTACAAGGCTGGTCAGAAATCAGAGGTAGGTGCCGAGGCAGAAACGCTTGGACCGACACGCATCCGCCATGCAAGCCAGGGCACGTTCCAGTGAGCCCAGCTCCAATAGCGTGGTCCATTCAGGACTGCTTCAAACTCTTGGCCTTGGCCACGGTTCTAAAGACACTGTTTCAAAACACCTCTGCTAACACGGCAGATATGAAGTTACTTGCTTCTGAGGTGAACATAGGTACAACTGCAGAAGGTCTTAGGTACTTATCTGAAGAAATCTGGCATTTCCACAGCTCATAATGTCTAGGATTTGCTAGACCTCACTGTACCATCTCTTGTGTGAACTAATAAACCTCCCCTGTCTCATTTATCTCCACAGAACTTTTTGAGAGAGAACCTGGTATTGTACCCATTCTAAGATGAAGAATCTGAATTTCAAAGGGGCTCAGTAATTTTTCCAAAAATCTCACAAAATTTTCCAAAAATCTCAAAAATGGGTTATGCTTAGCAGAGGCAGGATATGAATCCTTCTTAGTCTGGTTCTAAAGCCAAAATAAATTCTTCAGGCTCTATTCTGCAGCGTAGTGGCGTGATCTGAATGGCTTCCTGTCCCTAAAGCCAAGCCCTGCCTCTCCTTAATTGATCTTCATGCTACCTGCCTCCCTCTGATGGATCACTGATACCTGTCCTCCCTTTCTAATGTTCTCTCACTGTCCTCATTTTATCCTCCCTAGGGGATTGTGGTTGCTAATTACTTGGGCTAGCTGTCTCACAACTCTTTTCTTTCTTATTTATCTTCTACAAAATTAATAATAAAGCACTTATGAACGTTTATGTAATGCCTCCTATGCGCCAGGCACTATTGGAAGTGCTTGATATACATAAATCTAATCCTCAAAATGACCCTGCAAGTCAGTGCTATCGTTACCCACATTGTAGACGAGGACAGTCAGGCACAGGAAGGTACTTTCAGTAACGAGCCCATGTCACAGAGTTCAAGGGCGGTGCAGGTGAACTCTGGATCTCTAGTCCATGCTGCCCACCGTTACGCGGGACTGCAGAAAGAACACTGGTGCTGTCTTCAGTCCCTGGGTCTCCTCCCGCCTCCACTGTGCTGTTCCATGGCCGGAGATCCAAGGTGCTCTCACAAGTGCATGGTCAGGATCACAGGGACTGAGGGAGGCCAGGAACCTACAGACGCCTGTACGTGGGCAAAGCTGAGGTACCCCCAAATTGTAGTCAGATATTCTAGTCTTGAGAGGAAGACTCTGTTAGTCAGGACCCTTTCAGCTGCAAGCTCCAACTGGCTTATTAAAAAAGCTCATTTTCTCATTGGCCAGGCCTGGGACATTTATCGTTCTTGAGGACAGAGCTGAATCACACGGACAGGATTGGGAAGAAGGGTTTCCTAGAGAAGTACTGGGCAGGCAAAAATCAGACCTACCATGAGAAATCTGTGTGTTGTGCTTCACTCACGGTTCTAAAGACACTGACCCAGATCAGTTAGAAATAATGGGTTATGTTTAGCCTGAGTTTAAATTCTGGTTCTGTGGTGTGTGACCTTGGTAAATGATTTAACTTGCCTGTTCTTCTGTTTCTTTATGGAGACGATGTGAGGACCAAGTAAGATAAAAGTTCTAGCTATATTAAGCTCTCAATATTGTTATTTTTATCCCCTCCCCAGAATTAACCAGAAATTTGAGGAAATCCCAGATTTAAAGTGTGTTTATTTTCATCAGTCTAACTTTATTCTGACTTGAACTTCCTTTCCAGGCTGGGGAGTCACTTAATGTCTGCAGGCTACCTGCCGCAGCCAACACAGAGAAGTCACACGTTCAACTTCCAGGGAAGAAGAAATTCTCATAATCCTTTAATATCATCCAGTCCATTTAGATCAAAGAACTAAATGAGGTTTTTGTAGAGGAATCCAATCTGACTTAAAGTTCAAGGCCAGGCTGCGGGGATGGGTGATTGATATTAATGAAGGTTGTCTTGTACCCCTGGCCTAAATTAAATTCCAAGTCCGTTGGGGAAAGGGAAGTGAGGGGGATCTTCAGAGTTTTTAGAGCTGGCGTTTTAAAAGCCCATTTGTACAGACTGTGATTGGTTCTTACCCTTGGAAGAGTTGAGGTCACTGTTTCCTGTTGAACCCCGTTATCCATCCTTTGCACACATGGTTCTCTTGAGCCAGCCAGTTTCGTAATACATGTAATAGCAGGCAGATTCCCAGCATGTGGCTATTGGTAGAAGGTCATGGATTTCATTGAGTTTACCTTCCAGAAGAGTTGTCCTTTCTTTGAACTTGGCCTTCAAACGAATTCTGTTTTATGCTGGGGCCATTTCCTGTCTTCAGCCTCATGAAATATGCTCTCCAGGGTTACAGAATCCCTCCCCAAAGGAGATGATCTGAAAGGCTGCAGCAGAGGCCTCCCTCCCGAGAAGCAATCATCTGTTACCCGTCTCTCCTCTCCCACACAGCCACCTTTCCTGGCTTTGACTTCGTGTCCGCATTTTCCCTTTCAGATTCCAGGAGAGGCCGTGGGTTCGTCTCGCCAGGCTCTCATTTATCTTTTCCTGTCCTTTGCTTCCAGAGTCCCGCAACTCACAGGACTGTGGAGTAATTATGCTTCTTTTTTTGCTCTAGGGTTTTTTGAGCAACTTCCATTCCCCCAGTAGCATGAAGTTACATTTTAGCTTATCCCCAAATTGTTCTCTCTTGTCTAGTGGCATTTTGGTTGCCCCTTTGATTCTACCACATTCTCTTCTGTCATTTGACTGTGCTTCTGCTTAGATTTTTATGAACCTTTGGATGAAGAAAGATAGGTAGAACATCCCATCATTTTTAAGGAGGAAACAGTAAAAGAAGATACAGGGAAAAGGAACAGTAACAGTAACAGTATTAGAAGCAACAAATCCTCATTGCTTTGATTTTCCAGAGGATGAAGAGGGTTTTTTTTAAAGAACAGATTTTAAAATTCTAAGTATAGTCTATTGAAGAATAGAAGAACATATGTGGAGAATTTGTGTATTTACAGAACTTTGTTATTTAGAAGACAATTGCTTATTTCCAAGGAAATGCCATCCTTTTCACATTTAGAAGGAAATAAGACTGAGAACATGTTAAGAAAAAAGAAGACTAGCTCAGGGATATAATACATGTGTTGCCATTTTTGTCCATGGCATATATCACTAATAAACCATAACACTCGGTTGTTCCTCCGGGGTCTGGACACAGCCTCAGAATCCTTCTGCACACACATCAGCATTCAATCAGAGTTGGCTCTTGTTTGAAAACCTGTTTTCCATCACTTGATTAGTGTCTCTACTTGAACTTTCTTTTTTCTGTACGCTTTTGGCTAGAAGCAGTTCACGTGAAAAGTTATATAGGAATAGTTTATTAATCCAACAAATACTGAGTACTTGTTATGTACCAGGTACTGTTTTAATCACTTGCATAAAAAAATCAAAGCCCCACTGTATGAAGTTTGCATTCTGTTGAGAGAACCAGAAAATCATTAGGTAAACAAATTAAACTATTTCCGATGGTGATGAGAGATTTCCGATGGTGATGAGAGATTTCTAAGGATGCCATGGTAGTAAGTGATGGGGTGGGCATAACTTTTAGACCGGTCTGGGAGTGCCTCAGTGAGGAGATGATATTGAGCTAGGATGTGAATAATGAAGAGTGGGTCATGTGGGAGGTCACGTGGGAGGTCACGTGGGAGACCCAGAGAATCCTGGCAGAGAAAAAAGCACAGGTGAAGCCCCAGGGAAAGAATGGGTCTGGCAACTTCGAAGAATAGAAGGTTGCCTGTGGTAGGATCATAATGGATGAGGATAAGAATGGGAGAGGGGGACCTGGGGAGCAGGGGCTCCAGTGGGCAGACCCTCCAGGACATTACAGGCCGTGGGAAGGAACTTAAATTGTATTGGAAGTGCAGCGGAGAGGCATTGGAGGGGGTCAGTTTGATTCATTAGGGAGATGGCATGACCTGATTTATAGCTTTTAAGAACCTTCTGACCGCTGTGGAGGATGGGATTAGGGATAGGAGAAGAAGCAAAGAAACCAGTTAGGTGGTTATTCAGTCATTCGTAAAGAGAGTTGATGGTGAAGGAGAATGGAGACAGAAGTGGATGGATTTGGAGAAGTTTTTGAAACCGCACTCTCTGATCAATAGGAAATGGAGAATCAGTACTACTATCCCTATTTCAAGTAGATTTCAGGTTGATCAATGATAGAAGCGACATGAGGAAAGTTCCTCCATGGACTTTTGCACCTATTATTCAACTTCACACTGTATTCTTCTACCACTATTTACAAATCCCACCTATTTTGTGAGTAAGAGAATGAAGGAATGTAATCTTCTTCTCACAGAGAAGCAAAAGTAATTATTGGCTTGTGTTGTTCCTTGACTTTGCTTTGACCCTTATTAATCCCTCCACAATATCTATTTCATTTTCAGGCATACCTACCCCTTACCTTCTGGATCACCTTGTTGGATGCCTTTTATCAAAGCCTGGTCTGCTTCTTTGTGCCTTATTATGTGAGTCCTTATTCACTCAAAGTGTGTGTTATTAATGAATCAGTGATGCTTCTTTGTTGCTCGTATCAGCATACAGAGTGGATATATTAGGGTATCTTGCTCATATAACCAAGTTGATCACTAACTGACTAAATTACAAAGTCCTCCCCCAAATATGTTAGACAATGGATTAAATTTGGAGGGAAGTACATAGCTGACTCCTCATGAGTCTCCTTTTTAGCCCTGTGCTGCTTGATAGATTTTGTAAATGACCTGGATAAAATTAAGAGTCCAGGCATATAATGAGATGCGTCAAAATCAGAGAGGCAAAGTCAGAATATGAAATCAATTATTAGTGAGTGCTGGGCTAAATCTACTAGGATGATATTCATAATATTAAATTTAAGTTATTATAAATAGTCTCTCCAAAACTAAAAAACCTGTTTTATAGGTGAAGAATAGAAGAAATGTGACTAAACAAAACATGTATAAAAATGAATTTTAAAATTCAGGCCAACCCCAAACACAAAGCAGCATGATATAACTGCCCACCCATATACACCCCTACCCAGAAGAAAACACTGGTTCGATCATGGATTGGTGTTAACAAAAGCACGGTATTAAGAATGAAAAAAAAATTGATAATCTCTAAGTTAACAACCTCAGTTCTTTAGTTCTTTATTTAAACAAGACTTGAATTTGCCAGCTAGAGTATTCTGGGTATACTGCATTTCAAGAGGGATACAGATAAGGCAATCTGAAGGTAAGCAGAAGAGAGCAAGTAGAATTGTGAAAGGTCAGAAAATTGTGTCCTTGGAAGAATACTTTAAGGGTTTGAGGACATATACATAGGAGAGGAGGGGATATTTACTTAGCAGAGATCATACGCTCAGGATAGCCTTTTTTTTTTAAGAGAGAATGAGCGCATGCACAGGCGCGGGGAGAGGGAGAGAGAATCCCAAGCAGACTGTGCTCAGCGCAGAGCCCAGTGCAGGGCTCGATCCTAGGACCCCGAGATCACGACTTGAGCCCAAAGAAATGAGTCAGATGCTCAACCAACTGAGCATCCCGGCGCCCCTTCGGGGTAGCCTGAATAGCTACCTCAAAGTTTTGCAGCTCTATTAAATGGGACATATTTGATATTTTTCTATACCTCAAAGAGCCAGAAGTGTAAGTAAAAGGCTCCAGGAAGACAAATTATGGCTCAGGATAAAGAGGCATTCCAACTGAAAAGTTCAAAGATTAGATGGCCCAAGAGTCCGTCTCTTTTTCGGAAATGTTCAAGTTTATCCTAAATGACCCTTTATGAGCAACACTGAAGAAGGGACTCCATCCTCAGTTGAGCTATAAAATAAAGGGATGGTACTCAAAGCACCAAGTGCTACAACTCTCCAAGATCACCACCTGTTGTCCTCTCTTTGTAGACCTACCAGGGCTCAGACATTGACATCTTTGCATTTGGAAACCCCCTGAACACAGCTGCTCTGTTCATCATTATCCTCCACCTGGTGATTGAAAGCAGGAGTTTGGTGAGTGGTTTTCCTGCCTCGGAAGTAGCCTGAAACTGCTTGGGGGAAATGTCTTCTATTAGCAGTGACTGTGCTAAAACCTTTAATGCCTAGAAAACACATGGTAACAAGAAGAGTAATGACGCCAAATAAGAAGGGTGATTTCGTGGATGCTCTTGTTGATTGTTGAGTGCCGTTATGTTGAGGTTGATGTATAGCCAGGGAAAGTGGAAAATACCTACCTGGTCCCCTTGGTGTGGTATCCATGGCGAGTCAAGCTGAAGAAACACATTTCAATGACCAACATTCTTCAGGATCGTGCTGATGCCTTTCAACTCAACTAAAGAGAGGTGTCGTGCCATGATCCTGGTATACTGACTTTAGTAAGTGATGATTTTATCACAGTAAAGTGTCTCATGTTACAAAAAGAAATTATATTTTCTTCCCTCCAGAATTTTTACCATTCATTTAAATCTAGGTCTTTTTTTTATCTTAACTGCTGACTTAATGATAGTTGATTCTCATCATCAAAATGATTGTACCGTAGCTCTCTGCTGCAAAGCTAATGTGTAGGATTCAGATAGTGAGAGCTTTGTTGTAAACCTTCCTTTGCCAATGAAGAACATTCCACCCATCTCTGGAGAATAAACCACTTCCATGATTATTTATGCCCGTCACTCGTTTCCAATGGCATTGTCTTTGCTATAGCCTAAGCCACTTCCTGGACTAATGCTACATCTTCTTAGACCTCCCACCCACCTCTACTCTTGACTCCTCCAGCCATCCTCTACAAAACAATCAGAATCATCCTTTTGAAACACAAATCATTTCTTGTTGCTGTCCTTTGGGTAAAACCCTTCGATCATTTCCCACTGTACTTGGAATAAAATCGAAAAGGCCTAAGATGGCCTAAAGGACTTCATGCAGTGGTGCCTCTACGTTTCTCTCCGATCACATTTCCACTTACTCCTGGGCTGGAACCACATTGTCCTTCCTTTAGCAGTTCAGACACAGTGAGCTCGTTACCACAGCAGGTCCTTGGCATTTACCATCTCTTCCAAGGGGAGTATTCTTACTCTTCCCTTGGCTCCTTGCACTCTACCTAGCTTACATACTATCTTCAGTCTCAGCAGAAATGCTCCTTCCTCCAAGAGCCCTTCCCTAATCATCCATTTTTTCATACCATCCTCTTGTTTTTCCTCATCGCTCCAATAATAATTTCTTATTATTCACCAGTCATGTAACTGACTCATGTTTATCTTCTGCATTAGACTATAATCTCTGTGACGGGCAGGGTTCGTGTTTATTTTCTTGACCACCATATACCAGAATCTAGGACTGGACTGACAGTAGGTACTCCAAAATGTTTGACTGGATAAACAAATGATTAAACGACTAACCAGTGTTTGGGGTATATTTACCATCCTGAGTGCATTTCAAACAGAAATAGCTGAATGAGGTTATAGTTTAAATGTTATGTGCAGTTATATTGTAGAATTATTTATAATAATTTCTAAAGCATAATCATTTCTAAAGAATATTTTTGGCATTACTTGCCTTGCTTATAACCTGCTATAATCAAACTGTACAAGCCTAAAGTGTAGTAAAAGGTTAAAGTCTGAAAATACCGGGAGAGTAAAGGGAACTCTAGAACTAAAATATTTGGCATTGTTTTAATATCTGTTTGATTTCATTTTTAAACACTTTTGTAGGCACTTTTGGTTACTCCCTAAGGAATTGTCGTCGGTTCTGACATTTAGTAGTAGTCCAAAGGGTCTACCGCATGAAGTGTGTCGGTTTGGGTTCACTGGTTATGAGCAGCAGCAACCTGAGCAAATAGAAAAGTTATTAAAAATATATTGAAGAACCATCAAACCAAACCAAACCAAACAGTCCTGAGGAACCAGAGTGGCTCCGGACATCCGGGGAACACACTAATGGGCAGGCCTGCCCTGCTCTGCTCTGACTTGGTTGCAGTCCTTTTCTTTCTGCTCTTGCCTCATTGTGCGCCCCAAGTTTTGTCCCGGGGGACAGAATTCTGTCTCCTTAGCTTCAGTGCTAGGCTTTGGCTAGAGGAGGGATATTGCACTAGGTATCCACACTATCCGCACTAGGAAGCGGGAGCATGAAAGCCAGGTACCCAGGAAAACAGTGTCTGTTATATAAAGGACGCATCATCAAACTCTTTCTCATGCCCGGGGAGGCTGGAGCTCACAGCCTCCGAAGGTCCCTTGTCAGTAGGAGTCAGCCATTCTGAGGATGTGAGGCAGCTTCCCTTCACACTCTGGCTCCTTATGTCCTCAGCACCTCCCACTTCCCTGTCTGCTTTCCCCCTTTGCCTCTTGACTGTAACTGTATCAATTTATGGGAATGCGTCAGCTCCATCAGTTGCTGTCTCACTTGCCAAAAGCACATCTCAAGGGGAAAAAAAAAAAAATCAGGCAGTAGGATTCAATGAGAAGGAAACACGTTTGAGAAAGAAAGAAAAAAATAACAAATCCTTGTTTTAGAAGCGTGATGATCATCAGGAGTTAGCCCACATTTTCTGAGCAGTTTGTACATTTTACCAAAAAAAAATGAGCAGTTTTTGGTGACGCTTATGGAGAGATCTACCGAGGGGAAATACTTTGCCAGGTGAAGAGGAAGAGGGAGAAAATTGGATCTCGTTTGAAAATTCTAGCCTTAGAAAATAATAAAGGCAGTGCTACCCCCCAAAAGAATAACGTACCCCACTCGGGTATCAACTACGATTTTAGGTGCCACTGTTCCCTGCACTAAAGAGCACTGAACACCACATCATGTGAAGGTGATTCTCTTTCATGTCTTGGATTATGTTGAGTTTCCCTCTGTAACAAAGATCAGACTCAGCACTCATGACAGGTAATGGTGATACGACACTTAAGGTAGTGATCTGCTTTTCCTTCTAAATGAAGTTACTTAAATAGTAAGCCAGTTTCAGAAAAATGTCAAGAAAAATTTCAAGCTGTACGTAGATGCAACGGTGGCTCAGTTAAGGTGTGATAAACGAAGATTTGTTTCTTGCTTGTACAAGTTAGCTAAGGTGCCAGATAGCGCTAGAGGAGTTGTCCTCTGAGGGGGCAGCTCAGTGCCCTAGGCAGTGTCTTGTAGCTTTACCATCTAGAATTATCCCCAAGGAGGAACTCCTTGGTCATCATGGAAAGAAAGGAGACAGCATGGAAAATTGCACACCAGCTCTTCTGTGCTTCTAACCTGAACATTTTTTAATGTCCCTTCCATTCACATTTCATTGGTCAAAGCAGGATGCATGGCCGTGCTTAGTTTTAAGGGGGCAAGGAAATGCAGTCCTTCCAGATGCTTACAATGGGATGAAATTAGAAAATCGGTGAGCAACAGTAATGTCTACCAGCCATGAGAATGGATAATGTTTGAGGATTGCAGTATTACCTTAATGAAGAAGCAGGCTGATTAGTGACTGTATTAAAAGAAAAAAAAAAAAATCCAAACACCTCATGGTGCATTGAACAATATAAAATAGAATAGTCATCAAAATTAACCTTTTGGCATTTGACTCTGTTTTACAAAATTGAAACAGTGGTATGAGCTCTTCATGAAGGGTGCTCTTATCTCTTTGGCATTTTGTGTTTTGTGTTCACTATGGTTTGTGACACCATTCATTCGTTGCTTAGACACTTTGTCTCTTCAACAGAGCAGAGTTCGTGGGGATGCAAAACCCTGGGGGTAAGTGTTCATTTCCCCCGCCTTTCTTGTCTTGCAGACCTGGATCCACATGCTGGTCATTGCGGGTAGCATCTTGTCTTATTTTTTCTTTGCCTTGGTTTTTGGAGCCATGTGTGTCACTTGCAACCCACCGTCCAACCCCTACTGGATTATGCAGGAGCACGTGCTGGACCCCGTGTTCTACCTGGTTTGCGTCCTCACAACGTGCGTCGCTCTTCTGCCCAGGTATGGGGTTTTATCCGCGAGAGAGGAAGTGAGATCAGAGGCTTGGAAGGCTTCAGGCGACTGCTAAGCATGATGGCAGACCATCCCCTTCCCTTCACTAGCGGAGAGAGAAGTCAGTCTGCATCCTAGTGAAAACATGGGCTTTAACTCTTTGACCAGAGAGCAAAAACGGTTTAGGCAACCTGGAAGAGAGCTTTCTCTCTCATGGAAAATTCTCATCGGGTTGCCATTCCCCAAAGATAGGGCAGCTTCACCCACAGGGTTATCTGAGGATCCTTTCCTCTGGCTTTTTGTTCCGCCAACTCCCACGGGTGCTGCCCTCATCTGCATGATTGGAGATGACTCACCATCAGCACCCCCACATCCCTGCCTGTGGGAGGGAGGAGGAGAAAAAACGGAGTGCGAGCAGCTTTCCTCTCGCGTGTTTTTTTGCTTTGTCTTCGTAATGGCATGACCCAGAAGTCGCACATCATTGCTCATAGCCCATTAACTAGGACCTCAGAATGTAGAGTCAGAGTGGCGAAAATCTGAGGGTTTCTAAAAGGAAAAACAGGCGAATGTGGACTGAGAGACAAGTAGTAGTCTCTATACAGCCTGTCAGCACTGAAAACGTCCCCCCTTATCTGAGTTCAGTTATCTTTCCCATATTAGTTTAACTTGAATTTCTAATATTGTACAGGATGGGGATGGCTAAGAAGTATGCGTGCATTTTTAATCTATAGCTCTCTCTCTATATATATATATATTTTTTATAAAATATATCTGTTTAGCTGGAAACACTGTGCCACATAGTTGTTCTACCTTTTTAAAACAGGATATATATCGAGAGTCAAAATGGTGATTTTAGGTTATTCTCTAACACAGTTGACGAAGTGGCTCACAGGCCAAATGTGGCCCGCTGCCTGTTTTTTTAAAGCACAGTTTTATTGGAATATAGACACACTCATTCCTGTATTATCTCTGGCTGAGTTTCCACTACAGCGGCAGAGCCGAATAGTTCCAACAGAGACGGTCTGGCTCGCAAAGCCTGAAATATTACTATCTGGCCCACTGGAAGAAAGTTTGCCACCCCCAGTGTTCCAACAAATGCTGACAAATGTGAAGATGGCTTTGAAACTGGATAATGGGCAGGGACTGGAAGAATGTCAAGTACATGATAGAAGAATACTAGACGTCTTCCAACAGAACGTAGATGATCATGAACATCGACATTCCTGCTGGTGGGAATTCAGAGGGAAGTGAGAAGCAGCACAGGTGGAGAAAATCGTATCATCTTAGAAAATGCATATATGGCCTTAAACAGAATGCTGCTAGAAATGTGGATGTTACAGGCACCGCTGGTGAGGGGTCCGAAAGAAAGGAGGAACGTGTCACTAGAAATTTGAGGAAAGGGGATCTTGGCACTACAGTGGCAGAAAACTCAGCCGAAGTAGGCTTTCCCGTTATGTGGAAAGCAGAATTTGTGAACTATGACCTTGGCTATTTAGTGTTGAAGGTCTGGCCCGGTCCCTTCTTGCTGCTTAGAGTAAAATGTGAGAGAAAAGAGATTGAGGGAAGGCCTGTTAAACCCAGAGAAATTAGATTTGGGAAATTCTCTGCCTATCCAGATTTCCAAAGTTGTGAACATGAAGAGATTGGCTTTTGGGACCACGCTCTAGGGAGAAGGCCAGCAGTGTGGCTGGACAGCAAAAGGCTGAGGAGATTAGGTCTGTGACATGGGTCCCTTCAGCCCCCTCAGCAGCCACCGGGAAGGAGGATGGGATGATGTCGGAAAGCTCTGTGGAGGACCCTCATCTAAGGGCGTAAAGCCCCACGACATGTGGGAGACCCCCAAGGTTGATGAGAAATCCGTGCCGGCATCCGTGCTGCCCGCCGGGGCCGAAAGGGACGGTGTGCAGGACTGTGTCACACTAGTCCTAGAAAACTAGCAGCTAGCGTTGTTTGAACACGTACCACATGCTGCTGTCTGCTTTACATGTATTGTCTCGTTTAATCTAACAAACATTAAGCCTATGACTTAGCACTATGGGTACCTCTACTTTAAAGATTTTATTCTGTATTTACTTGACAGGCACTCCGTTTCCTCAGCGCTTTACAAATACTAACGTGTTTAGTAGTGCTACTGTCTCCATCTTACAGTGTGCTTATCCTCCCCCTTTACCTCAAGGAGGCCAAGGGGCCACCAGCCCCTTTTACTTTTTCCAGTTGGTGAGTATTTTTGGGGTCCCGTGCTGCATTTGCGGTGACTCTAATTCTGTGCTGCTTTTCGGAACCTAGGTTTACATACCGGGTTCTTCAGGGATCCCTGTTTCCGTCTCCAGTTCAGAGGGCTCAGCACTTGGACAGATTGACTGCGGAGGAGAGGACTGACGCTCTCAAGAAGTGGAGAGGGGCCGGAACAGTGGGCCGGGCGCCGTCGAAGTATGCTGAGCGCTCGGCTGCCAAGGCCAAGAGAAGAGCCCCGTCCGGCCCGCCTACCGCCTTGACAGTGGTGTCAGCACCGTCTTGTGCTGTTGAGCAGGGGAGCTCGTCTGTCCGTGAAACCACTTTGGACTCAGACTTCTGTGAAACCAAGGCCTCAGGGATGGCGAGGCCCTCTGAGGGTTAAAAAAAAAAAAAAAAAGAAAAAGCAAGGTATCCTCCTTGGAGTGGCAAGTCTCCCTTCAAATCTGGAAGAGGGCCTTTGAAGAGGCCCCTCTAGCAAGCAAGAATGAGGTGGATTTTTCCCAAGGGGACACGAAGATTCTTCTGTGCCCGGAAAAGCCAATGTGATGACCTTTCTTGTATGTTTGTAGATACATTTGGAAGAGAGGTTGCAGTTTGACCTGAACTGAGATTCGGGAGGTGAAATATTTCATCCCGAATCAAACACTTTTATGAAAACTTTTTGGATTTTGTAAAAGCATTTTAATTGTCTTAGACATACAGACATTCCTAAGGGATTCATTTGAGATGTATTTATTTTATTGGGAGATCTCAGATTCCAGGGAAATGCTTTCAGCGAGCAGACTCCAATCTGAATTTTCTTTAATGAAAAAAAAGGAGTTTTTAGATCAGTTAGAATGCAGAAGAGATTGCCACATGAAAAAAATATATTATAAATGGTTAATTTCCAGAGAAAAAATTCCAAAGAGCCTTTTAAATGACAGTGTACCTAAAATAGGGCAATAACTGTACTGTTGAAAATGTGGTTAGTGATTATTAATAGCTTTTTATTTCCTCCAGGAAGGTGCCTTTGGTCTGACTGCCCGATGTAAGGCATCCGTCTCTGCTTGTTTCAGTGTTCTCTTGAGGCGGAGCCTTCATGGGGAAGGGGCAGACCGGTGCCAGGGTTCGGTAGGAATATGTTCCTCTCTCTGCTTTCAGGCAAGAGAAGACCTTTTATGAGGTCTGCCTCTGTGCAGATGGCAGCTGGGAAACACAGGCCGTAGGCAGGACAGACACAGTCAGCTCGTTCTGTAGCCTGCTTGGCAATTTCCTGTATTCTAAAACTTACAATAGCCTGATCAAGATGAGACAATCAATTTGAAGACAATCTGCAAGGTCTCTGGTGTTGTAGCCTTTAAAAATGAGATACTATGCATTGAGACTAATACAGGTGATTCTCAGCAGGATTCCATGAGGTTCTTAGAAAAATTTGTTTTTAAATACATTTTAGGACAGGAATGTCGTTAGCAAGTTAGTTGCTCGTTGCAAATCATGTGTGTTGGCTTTAGATGGAACAAAGAGACTAGTTTACCAACTAAGCCCAGATGTTACAAGATCATCTATTTTTGTTGAGTTCTTTTAAAATTCAGTATCTATTCATCTGAAAATTGTCAGCCACTAACCACCCAGAATCTCCTTCCTGAAATCTCCATGCTGATGTTCTATGTGTGTATCAAGATCTTATGAGTATTAATCTGTTATCCTCAGGGCTTCATCTTCTCCTGCTGCCTCTTTGTCCTGGTCTGACATTTTTTTGTAACTGTCTGATATTACTGCAAATAGTCCTTTATGGAGACTGATTTCTAGAACTTTCAAAATCCCACATGTCTATTGGAGGTTGTTTTCTGCTTTAATGATTTTTTAAAATAAACTGTTTAATAAATCATGTGTACGAAAACCTGTCATCACTCCTGCACATATCACCGAACCCAATAGTAATTGGTACCAGAGCTTAGAAGGAAAATCCCAGAGCCTACCTTTTCCCAGAATATTGTAATGGCCTTCTCGTATATGGAAAAATCAGTAGTGTCCTATCATCTGTCATCCTTATAGCAGCTGGTATTCATTGCCTGAATATAAATAAAGGGTTAGAATCTAAAGGTAAAAAGAATAAGCCAAGAGGACTGAGGAAAAAAGTCAGTCTCCCAGATGTCAAGCATCCGTGCATAAAAGCAGAAGAAAGTCTTGAGTGTTCATGTTACATACGAGTCCGCAATCTCTTATCCACAACTCCAACATCCTGAGAGCTCTGAAACTGAAAAATTTTTCATAAATTAGGCACAAATTCAATGTCCTGAACAGATGTAAGGCAATTTCTTTAATGTAATTATTCAGATATTTTGCTATAAAAATGTATTTTATTACTGGGTGCTAAATTGTATTTTTTAAATTCTGAAAAATTCTGGATTCTGAAACATAACTGGCCCTTGGGCAAAAGAGATTTGGGTTCTGTATCAAGCCTTTAAAGGGTCTCATTTACAAGTAAATAACTTTACACAGAGTTACCCAAGCTGATGGGATCTATTGCATTTTGGTATTCGGTGTATTTTACCAAATTTCCGGAGACCAAGCATTGTATCATTGCTCCTGGTAGCCAGGAAAAATTGATTAATAGTTTATATTTTGTGGTATAATTTTACCCCAAAAGCTTTGTGAAAGAATATATCAGGCTCCCAAAATATACTCTAGACATGAGAGATTCCTTGCACTCTTACCAGGATTAAAGTTTTCTTTGGACTCTTAAGGGACTTGAAACTATTAGGAACCTCTCATTTCAGAGAGCCATCCATCACCTAAAATAAAAGACCACGTTCCTGTGACAGACACATGACAGGTAAATTCAGATTGGTCGGCGGCTGGAGGCCAACTGTAAAGTGGGAGGCATGGTTTTCTGGGACTTGCTATTTCCATGTTCCATGTCCATTAAAAAAAAAAAGGTTGTACCATTTTACTTGTATTAAGGGTTATTTAGAATAAGTACAGTAGGTACACTTGCCTGAACATAAGTTGAGCAAGGCTAACAGTTACTACATGAAGTATGTACCTACCACTGTAACAATCCTCACCATAATTCCATTGTTGGATTTCACATTCTCAGTAGGTTTATACAAACTCTGGAACAGGAGATGAATAACATGGAAAGTGTCAAGGCAATGTTTTGAATCTGAAATATGTGCACACATAGAAAAAAGTACAAAAACCCAGGTATAAAATTGCAGGTAAGTCTCGGCGGGGGGGTGCCGAGCCAGTCCAGGGTGCCGGTGAAGGTTAGTGGGGAATCTTCCTTGTTCCGAAGGCATTTGGATGTTGCAAAATGGATGCCTAACTAAATTACTTACGTGTGAAAATTTGCATTTTGAAGCTTTTTAGTGGGGGAAAATACTTTTAACCGCTAGTTATTTTGGAAATTGATGTGCATAAAGTGGCCTAGCGCTTAAAAGCATTTTTTTAAATTTTTGTTTTAATTATCAAGGGGATGCAATGGCAACATCAGATATTAAACACATTTCAAGGAAAATTACAAAATGTTTTACTCCATGCAAGCTTGAACTGCTTTGAGAGGCATTTCTGTGATTTTATCATTATGGGTGAACACAGGAAAGTTGGAAAATACTGAATTAGAGGTCGGGTGCAATTTAATTTTTGTTTTCAAAAATTGAATCTCTCCAGGCTAAAGCAAGTCTCCTTTGGCAAAGTTTAATCTCCATTCATTGTCACATAGGCAAAACAGAATGTTTCCCACGAATATTATTCTAGCTGTTGACAGGTCTGTCAGCCAACTGATACACACTGAACAAATCCCAGCTATAAGGAAGGTTCTATGGAGACTTTTCTATAAGGTTACATCCTTGATTTACGTTTAGAACGTGCGGTCTTATACTGTTAAATGCTATTATTGATGTCTAAAGAGCTTTGTGTTCAATATGTCTTGCCATTTCAGCTACCTAAATGGATGCTACTTGTCTTTTACCTCTGACTATCTTTCATAGGTTTTCAGAATTATGCAGACTTTAGTAGTAAATAATTTAAGCAGGTAAACTGTCTTGACTCTTAATAAATCAAAAGCAAGTCTCCAATATTAATATTGAAATTTGCCACTATGCTATTGTGCTTGAGAAACAAAAGCTGGCAAAGAGCCTGGATCTCAATGGCCTCTCTGTGACTGGAATAAAGAGAATTCTCTAGAACCTGTTACCCTAGCACCTGCCTTATTCCAGAGCTGATACTTTTGTGCTATGGTCAAGATTAGGCCTGGCAAAAGAGCAAAATCTGCTTTTTTTTTTTTAAAGACTGTCATTAAACTTGAAGTAAGAGAAAACTAAAATTGAAAAAACTGAATAAAATGAGACCAGAACAAACATGAACATTTGCAGTGCACCGCTGAGCATCCCTGTCCGTGAAAAGTGCTTCTGGGCGGCTCTCTGCAGGGAGCTCTCCACAGTTGACAGGGCCATTTTCTTTGAGTGTAGCTGGCAAAAGTCTCTCATCATCTTTGGAATTAGTTTAGGAGAAAGGTATGGATGTATATTTGTCTTTCAATCCATTCGACGAAGTATGACACATTGCTATAAACTCCAGGCCCCAGGACTTTGGAAAAGCAGACAGAGCCCCACGACGTTAAACCAAATAATGTCCACTGTCCTCCAGGCCTCTCGCAAACAAGTGGCCCACCACTGTCACCCTGTAATGAACAGGAGTGGACATTAGTCACTGGTGGGTACAGTGAAGCCAAACCCAGCTTAGCCAACTTCTTGGAAAGTTTAAACAAGGCTTTCGTTGCCAACCAGAGGGAGCATGCTTTCCATCACACCGATGGAACTGCCAAATGCGCATTTTAGACCCTGATATTTAAAAGAACGGGGGTGCCTTGGGAAAGGACTACCTTCTTATTTCCCTGAAATCAGATTTCTCAGCCATTTCTTGTGCTTATCAAAATAGGTGATAATTTTTTTTAATTTAGTGTATCAGAACAAATTCTCTCGTAATTGTTCTCATTCTTTAACTTTGAGCCATTTTATAAATGTTGAAAGTACCCAAAATGGAACATGCAAAGATTTTTTTTTTCTCCACTCAAACAGTACCTCAGAAAAATACTCCAGAATAACTCTCTATTTTCAGGATTCTTGCTTTGCGAATGAGTGCATTTAGTAAAAGACACTGGCAACTTGCTGCATTTCTTAACAGTTCCTAGGACTTTTTCAGTTAGTGTACATGGTTGGAAAATAGCACATCAGAATTATTTACAGTAAGGTATCTGCAGCTTCTGTTCTATCTCATTTGCATGGAGATTTTCATTCTTGACATTTCAGCTTTAAGTGTTGCAGTTCTTGCCCCCACATATGATTAGCAGTGAGACACTATGGCTTTATAAACATCAATATTGGCTACATCTGGAAAGAT